TTATTTTTAAAATTTATTAATTTAAAATTAATTTTATTCATTAAATTTATTAAAATGCATAACATATTTTTCTTTAATGGACATCTAAAATATTGATATCATATTAATTATAAAATTATCTTTCTCTTATATTGATTTTTTTTAAAAAATTGCTTAAGATTAATTTTATTTCATTTTAATGTTAAAAAGATTTTATTCATTTTATTATCTAAAATAATAATTAATTTTATTTCTAAAATTACTTAAGATTAATTTTAATTTTAAATTGATTTCATCAATTTTATTATATAAAGTAGTTGTTTATTTTATTTTTAAAATCAAATTGATTTATGAACCAACCGAACCAGGCCGAGTTTGAAAACAATGCTATCAAGTATTAGGAGGGTATTACGTATAAGGGTCAACTCTTGCATACCTAACCTGTATACTTAACTCATATAGTTGACTTGTATATCTAACCCATATACTTTACCTATATTCTAGTTTTATATGCTTGATTTATAATGTTATAAAATTAAAATGTTTATTTTTTTTTCTTTTCTTCTAATAGTGAAAATTCAACTAAAGGAAAATCATGTAGATTTTGTTTGTATTTTTTTGTTATTGTATATATAAACTTGTGTATGTGTGAGTATATATACTCATGTATTTTATTTTATATATAAACTTGTATTATATGTATGAACTCATAATTGTATATTAACTTATGTATTTTCATTATAAAATTTAACAAACATATAAGTGCACCTATAGCTATATTTATAATCAACAAGCTGGATAATTAGCATAAATTTTTAATATCCAGATAAGTATTATGTATTTTTTTTTATAAATTAAAATTTATTAAAGAAGTACAAAAGATACTCAACCTTACGAGAGAAATGGGAAGACAAGGGTTAAATGTTGCAATCTAAATACAGATAAGTATTATGTATTGGAATCTTGTATTTATTATTGTTCAAGTCAAATACAAATATAAGCAAATACCTTCCCTATACCTACCCATGCTCACCCCTAAATTGTACTCATCCAAGTCTACAGTAACCGCACCTCAAACCCCCCTCTCCCCTGCTCAGCAGTGTTTCTACTTCGGGATAGGGTGGTACAAGTGCCACCGCATCCTTCGTGAGGAGAACGACCCACGCCAAATTTCAATACCGCATCCTTCGTGAGGAGAACGACCCACGCCAAATTTCAATACCAATAGAATTACAAATTCAAGTCCATCGAAGGCCCACGTCACAAGTCCAATTCACATCCAAATACTAATCAATGTCTCCCCTGAAACGGGTGTGGGTATTGTTAAGGACACCGATTAAAAAAACAAAAAAATTTTAATAATGTTGTCATAGCACGAGCTCAAATTTGTCCATGAAGAGAGGGATGTGCACCTCAAGATGGTCGGCCCAGGTGCCACTAATTAAAGTTTTGATTTATTTTTTAAATAATA